GAGGTCGTGTGGCGCGAGTCCGCCGTGGCGCAGGAGGAGCGCTGCGAAGAACACCTGGCCGACGTGCTCGTGGACGCTCTCGCACTGCACGAGGAGGTCCTTGAGCAGCTGCGCCTGCAGCTCGCGCCACCCGAACGCGGGGCGCGCGGCCTGGTGCCGCGCGACGGCCGCGCTGGCGCTCAGCGCGGGGAGCCATGCCTGTGCGTCGCGCACGCCGAGCGCGCTCGCAAGCACGTCGGTGTACGCGTGCGCACACACGCGCCGGCGCGCCCGCTCGAGGATGTGCGTGGGCGGCACATGCAGGAGCGGCGTCGAGAGGATGTCGAGGCCGTACGCATCGCATGCGACGAGGCCGAGCACGAGCGCGGGGTTCGCGTGCGCGTGCGTGCCGTCCAGCAGCACGTCGACGCCCGGCGGCGCGCTCGTGAGCGGCCGCTGCGCGTCCCACGCGATGCTCGGCGGCGCGCGCGACGCGCGCGCGGCGAGCGAGCGCGCGAGGAGCCCGCTGACGATCGCGCCGAGGACGCGCGCCATGTGCGCGGCGCTGCGCGCGAGGCCGAGCAGGCTGAGCAGGTGGTACATCGCGCTGAAGACCGACAGCTGGTCCGGCGCGGGGAGCAGGCGGAGCGACGGCGTGCAGGCCATGTGGACGGCCGCGGCGATCTCGTGGCGGTACACGCCCGAGACGGCGGCGAGGTGCGCGTGCTCGGCGAACGTGAGCGGCACGCCGGTGTCGAGCGCGGGCGGCACGCCGCCGTACACGAGCTGGTCGAACGCCTCGCCGTTCCAGCCGCCGGACGCGAAGAGCGCGAGGAGGAAGCGCGCGTACGAGAGGCACGCCGTCGCGTGCACGAGCGGCGGCGTGTAGTCGCGCGGCGTGTCGTTCGTCATGGAGCGCGCGGACTCGAGCTGGACGTGCGGCGGCGCGAGGCACTGTTGGTAGATGCTCAGCGCGAGGCCGTACGCCTCGACGACGTCGCGCCACGCCTGCGACTCGGGGCCCGGCTCGCGCACCTCCTTCTCGCGCCCGGGCGTGAGGGGGTACAGCCGCCCCGGCGCCTGCGCCGCGGCGTCGCCGCCGAGGCGCGCGAGCAGCGTGCGCGCGACGGCCCAGCCCTCGAGCGCCGCGGCGAACCACACCGCGTCCTGCCC